TTGATTGGATGCTTCCTGGACAACCCTCACTGGGCTGGGGATTGAACCAGCCACCCAGCTACATGTCTTTGACCGGACTCCAACCCATGACCCTTTGGTATGCGGGCTGATGCTCTAACCGCTGAACCAAACCAGCCAGAGCTCTATTGTTAATTTTTTGAGGAGCCTCCATACTGTTTTCCATAGTGGCTACACCCGTTTACATTCCCACTGGCAGTGAATGAGGGTTCCACAAGCTCTCTAACACTTGTTATTACTTATCTTATTGATAATAGCCATTCTAAGAGGTGTGAGGTGGTATCTCATTGTAGTTTATTTTATTTTATTTTTACTTTTATTAGTATTAATTCTATGCTGAGTTTACTCTCGGGCTGTACGTTTTTGTTTCTTCAACTTTCATGTTGATTTTTGTACCTCACAGGTGAGACTTCACAATCTGAGGCTGACATTTATGTGTTTTGTACCTTTATCCGAACTTTTATTTTGGTAGTGAATAATGTTTTAGAACAATGGGGTGGTTTGGCAACTTTATATCATAAAAAAAAAAACCTCAAAAAGCACTTTTAAAGCATTTCATTCATTTTTCTGTTGAAACTTGTAAGGTTAATTTTACAACAGCAATGACCTTTGCTCATATTTTGCAGTGTTTTGGGAGGATTTAAAAATCAAGTGAATTTCAGGCTCCAAATGAACAGCCCAAAAGCAGTTTGATTGCAATGAATATTTCCACATATTGGTTTATAAATTAATAAAATGTGTGCACTCCAGTGTTGACTTTTCATTTCATTTTCTTTACTGATTTTAGAGAGAGAGAAAGGGAGAGGGAGAGAGATAGAAACATCGATGCGAAAGAACATAGAGTGGCTGCCTCCTGCATGTCCCCCACTGGGGATCGGGCCCACAACCTGAGCATGTGTCCTGACTGGGAATCGAACATCAACCTCTTGGTACATGGGTCGATGCTCAACCACTGAGCCACACCGGCCGGGCTAGTGGTGACGTTTTATAATACAAATTTGTGTATATTTTAAAGTAATTTTGTCTAACTTGCAGCTGATCTTGCTTTAAAAAATCCTGAGCTACTTTTCATCCACAAATGATGAGTTTACTACCTACCAGCCCCAGGCTTTGGCGGGGGGCCAGGTACCGTTCAAAGCACTCCACAGACCCTCTCTTTCATGACTCCTCCCCACAAGTTCGCCTGGTAGGTTCTGCAATGTATGTCCCAGTTTTACATAGAAGGAAACCGTCAGCGTAGGCTTGTAATCAAGCGAGGTCAATTCAAACCCCGCTGTCCCCTTAACCGCTGTCCTTCATGCTGTCATACGTTTTTAATCATTATTCTTGCATTTAAAGTGGCTTCCATAGAAACCATCTTTAGAAAGAAAAAAATACAAATTTTAATAAATATAAAGGCATGTTTAAAATTTTTGTGTACTTCGAGGGGCGGGGTGGATGAATATTGAAAATAAAATGAAGTTTTAATATTAGAACGTGAAAAAAAAAGGGAGAAACTTAAACCCTGATCATTTCTCGGTGATTTTGTCCCCAGCAACCCAGGCATGACGGGACCTGCACCTGGCGAGCTCCTCGAGATAACACTGTTATCACAGGGAAGCCGGCCTCAAGACTAAAGGACCAAAAGTAAGCAACCGAAAACTTTCCACCACTTTGCTCAGCGCGCCCGTGTGTCGGGCCCCGCACCCCGGCGTCTGCTGCCCTCGTGCGGCCGCGCCGCGGTCCTGCACGTGTAGGGGAGCACACCGCAGAGCCCTTGGGCGTTGGGTTTGGGAGGCGGGCTCCTTGCCTTTACCCTCGCCCTTGGTCCTGGTAGGGGAGGCGGATCTCCACGGGGCGGGGCGGGGTAGGGACAGGGGAACGGTGCCCCCTGAAGTCCTGCAAGGCAGCGTCATTGATAATTGGGTTATCCCACGTGGTTCTCCTAGTTATCCTGCAAGGTAAGCACAGGGCCAGGAGTGAGGGTATTGCCCAAGGCCACACAGCACAATAGTGCAGGGAAGGGCTTGGAGCTAGGTGTAGAAAGAGAAGGGGATGGAGCGCCCCCTGTTGAAGAATTCAAGCTGAGGGGCTCCTCTGCAGCAGCTCCTGCTGGCCTTGAGACTTGAGAGGTACCCCAAGGGGCTGCCCTGGGGGCAGTGGGGCTAGGTGAGGTCTCTTCAACCCCAGCTCCTGCCTGGGCCTTGTGGTCCAGGAAGTTTTGTCAATATGAGGTTGAAGATTACCAACTCAGCCTTAGTGACAAGTTCTGGGTATGGTGATGCGGGGTGGGGAACAAGCCGAAGAGGGAGGATTGGAAACAAGTTGCAAGTCTTAGTTTCAGCCCTCACCATCTGACTCCCAGCGATCTCTCTGACTCTTCCCCAAACTCACTTCAAATCCCCACCCCACCTCAGTGGACAGTACCACTACCCACCCTTTGCCCAAGCCTTCTGAGGGGGATCCTGAGCCCTGCCTTGATTTACCTCTATTCCTATTCAATCTTCTGTTGGGAGACACATTTTCCATAGGTCTCTCATGTTTCTGCAAAGGAATTGATTGCTCTTTGTTCTCAATGATCTTCTCCAGGAGCTCTGTGTATCAGACAACCTTGGAATATATAATTGTCTCCTCTGGAACAAAGCACAGGCATGGTCCAGCATGAGAAAGATAATGTGTCTTTCAGGAGCAAGAAGCAGGCTTTCTGCCTCTCATAAAAGACTGGGGTTCCCTAAGCTCAGGGTATCTCTTCCATAATAAATCCACAGGGTGTTCAGGTGTCACCTGGCTCTGTTCATGTCACCCTATGGGATTTGGGACTCAAAGAATCAATGCAAAATACTTATACTCTAGTTTACTGCTGGTGCTGTGAGTAATACATTGTCCTTCATCTCTGGCCCAGGAGTCTTATGCCTTCTATTAGCATCCAAGAATCTCTGGCAGGCTGACTGGTTAGCTTGCAAGTAGGGCACAATCTTGGACCTTTCTCCATTCTTTACAGCTTCCAACCTTGTCAGTTCCACCTTTGACACATTTCTGTCATTTGCCCATTTCTGTATATTCTCAGTGCCACAGTCCCAGTCCAGGTTCCCATCATCTCGTGCCTGGAGGGTTTGTTGTTGTGGGTTCCTATCTGATCCCCTCACCCCTTCTGCCCTCTACTTTAGCTTCCTCAGGTAGCCAGAGGGACCATGCTAAAGCCGCAGTAACCTCCAGTTGCCTTAACTCTTCAATGGCTCCTATCATTTAATAGACTATTCCATGACCCATGCAGCCCTTGCTGACCTTACCACCAACTTTGTTCTCCTTCCAATGTCCCACTTTGTGCTCTAGTAATGCTGAATTGTTTAAATCAAGCTGTTCCCTCTGCCTGGACCATCCTTCACACTCTCTTCTCTGGAAAACTACCCATCCTTCAAAACTAGCTCAATGAGGCCTTTCTGAAGCCCCAGCAACCTCTCAGTGCCACAGTGTTGTAGACAAGAGGGTGGGTGACTGGGGGTGCAAAGGCAGAGGACAGAAACGAGGGACTTTGAACACTCCACCTTCCAGACCCCAGCTCTTGCCACAGGGGAGGAAACCAGCCAGTGAACAGGATTGCCCTGGGCAAAGGTCATCATTGACATTCTAGGTGCTCATTATGGCAGGCTGCCATGTACAGTTGGGTAGTCTGGGCTCTGCACAGGGCTGCCTGGCCAAGGGAGGGAGTGAGGACTAAAACCATGCTGTGTGCAGGGGCCGGGTGCGATCCACCCTTCCAGTCTGCACAGACGGGCTCTCTCCTCACCGAGCCCTGCACCCACAGTGGCCTGTGTGCCAGAGGGCGTGCTTTAAACTTTCCTAAAAGGTGTGGGAGCCTCCTCCTGCAGACCCCTGGGGCCACCTGCTGAGACCCAAACAGGAAAGCAATCTGAGAAATGCTGTGATCAAGGTTCTGGATTCTCACAGAATTCTAAACCTTTGACCCGAATTAAGGCCTCCAGCAATTTCTCCAACATTCTCCAGGCAGCTCCTGGCCTCCTGTTGCTTCTTGCAGCCTGGAGAGGTGGCACACAGCAGGCCGGCCCTTTTCCCCAGGACCTGTCCCTCTCCAGGACCCTCTGAGGCACGTTCTCTTCCCCACCCTTCTTCACCTAGTCTCAGCATCCCCTGAAATCGAGGGTCCTTACAACTTTGATTAACTTTAATTATAAATCCTAGCTCTAGAAATCACCTGTCTCTCTCTCTCCCCTTCTCTCTCTCTCCTTAGACACCTAGCCTTCCTCCTACCCCCTTCCCATAACCAGCAATCCCTGAGGCAGCAGAAGACAGTAGCTAGACTCTAGCCGGGACCTGACTAAAGGCCACAGGGTCCTGACCTTGGGTAGACTAAAGATAACATTTGACCTAAGTTATGTTTTAGCTCCTGAGCCCTGAGGTAGAACGACCAACCTCCTGGCTACTTTCCCATGAAACCAGACAAAGGGATGCAGGGAAAGTCTGATGGTGTCTCGTGATTTTGCCCCGTATAATCTGTAACCTGCGTTCCATGGGGGCGTTCATCCTTCAGTGAAATGCAAGAAGAATGAATGGGCGTGGGGGCTTAGGCGGGGCCCTTCAGGTTTGGGCAGCTGAGGCTTCCCTCTGCCTCCAAACATTCTGCCCGTGGCCCTGGGGGTAACGATTTCTATTTCCCAGGCCTTGGATCCTTGGGGAGGTGGAAGAATGTGAGGAGGCCCAGCCTGTTTCTGTCGCGCCGACTGCTCCAGTTGCCGGCCGCAGGCCCCCACGACCTGTCCGGCGCTGCTGCTAGGCAGGAGTCCCTGCGGGCAGTCTCCAACCAGGGTGGACAGGACATGTACCCCAGTTTTGGTGCAGTGAAGGGGGAGGGAAAAAGGTAAGTCTTTTGTTGCAACTGGGTCCCCCGGGTAACTAGGCCTCCACCTAGTAGTATCTGTGATGTCACCCTGCCTCTCCCAGCGGGAGGAAGGGTAGGAAGCCAGACAGGGCCACCCCCCTTTCAGATCCAGTCTCATGGGGATTCGCTGCCGGTGGTGAAGCTCTCAGTGCTGGTAAGTGGTGGTGGGGACAGAACAGCTACCTCGGAACTGCTGGACCCGGTGACCGGACCTGAGCAGTGGAACCAGGGGACTGCCTGCCCCTTGGAGTAATCTGACGGCTCCCAGAAGCCCCGTCCCCCGCCAGAGTGCTGGGATTTTCTCTGTAGAGAATCACTCCTGTGGGTTAAGCATTGTCTTCCATGGCTTTAAGACATGCAGATGCTGACAACTGGGGCCACACCTCGAAATCGCAGCTCCTTACTGGGCTGAGTTACAGAAAGGGGTCCCCGGGGTCCGCTGCAGTGCATAGAGAGGGGAGAGACCATGGTGCAGCAGAAGGAGACATAATTGGATTTGAATCTTGGCTGCTCCACTCTTTTTACCTGTGTTACTTTGGGCACATTATTCTACCTGTCTGACCCTCTGTTTTTTCTCCTATAACTGATCTTACAGGAGCATGTGGGATAGAACAGGTGGCTCTCCTCCCTGGTCTCAGCACTATTAGTTGGGGGAGGGGGCAGCTGCCACTTCCTGTCTCCATCCTAATCCCTCCCCCAGCTGGACTCCTGGGCTCTCTTCCCTTCCCAGCATAGCTCCATCCCCTCAGCTCTGCTACCCCCCCCCCCCATGTTGGGGCATATAGCCAACCCCAGAGTGTTGCCTCTCACCCTGTCCCTTAGGGCTCCAGGTGGTCCTGTGGACAGGGACACATGAGGTTCAGATGGGTGGGCTGGTTACTCAGGGGCTGGGGCTTCGAGGCTCTGAGGAGGAGCCATTCAGCTCCAGTACTGAAGTAGAACTTTCTCACTTACAGACTCTTTCCCCACCCAACCCCCCTCTTCCTCCCAATGGATGGGATGCATCATATCCACCCTGCCACCCAGGGCAGAAATATGGTCATCTTCTTGGGTCCCTCCCTCTCCTTCACCCCTCTCAGTAGGTCAGTCATTAATTCTGTCACCATCCCCCATGCTCACATCTGTCTACCCTTAATGACACTGCCCTTTGCTCCCAGCTGTCCTCATGACACCAAGAAGCAACTGATGTGCGGGAAAGCCCAGGTGCTTAGGAGAAGAAATTGATCTGGGTTCAAATCCTGCAGGATTAAGGGGCTGAGGGGGATGGTTACTCCTTATATTATTGCCATCGTCATCATCAATCAATCTCCTTCAGTCTGGAGTATTATAAGTAATTATTTGAATCCATAGGAAAGAAAATCAAGTATAATATGAGAAACCTTCTAAATGTCCCTCCTGAGAATGGAATCCTTAGAAGTGAACAGATGAAGATTATTCTCGTGTGTGGTCTGAGGCCTTGAGAAGAGGAGGGCCTGACCCAAGGTGACCTGGCAGCCCCAACCCCTACAACAGAACTCGGGTAAGGTTCCTGCCCGGAGTGAGAGACGATGGGTGATGATTGTCTCCCCCTCCTCCTGCAGCTGGCCCAGAACCGGGTCCACCTCTACAAGTTTCTGCTCCTCAAGATCACCCTCTCAACAACTGGCTGTAAGGGCCGGTCCAGGAGGCTCAGGGGTCCTGCGGCCGGCAGGACACCCACTGCCCGGGCTTGCAGCCTGCCCGATGGTCTGGGTTCTACAGGCTGGGCTGGCACTCATACAGGTTCCGGTGTGGCTGGTGCTGAAGGTGCCCAGGCTAGTGTGGGCGGGCATGCTGGGCGGTGCCCGGGCCTTGGGCCTGGACCCGAAGTGGCCAGGTGCCTGGGAGCAGCTGGGCCTGTCTGCAGCCACCTGGATGGACCTACTTCTGTCATGTTTGCACAGCCTGATGCTGGCGGCCTTGCTGCTGCTGCTGCTGACCTGGAGGCTGCTGTGGAGGGCCCACCGCTGCAGCCTGGGCTGGCTGCCCAGCAAGGTGGGTGGGGAGGATGCAGGTCAGGCTGCGGAGGGCAGGCCTGGGGCGCTGGGCATAGCCAGGGCTGGGCTGGGGGGCTAGCAGTTGGACAGTGCAGCCATGTGGTGGCCACCTGCCCATCCTCTTGCCCCTGTAGGCTCTGCTGGAGAACCATGTGGTGCTGGAGCTGCTGGCACTGCTGAAGCATCTGTACTGGTGGGTGGAGAGCACGGTAGTGCTCACCTTCTGGCACCTGGCCTATCTCGTCACTTGGACCACCTGCCTTGCTTCCCACCTGCTGCAGGCTGCCTTCGAGCACACGGCCCAGCTGGCCCAGTCCCAGGCCCAGGAGGCTGAGCCCCAGGAGGCCTCACAGGAGGCCTCAAGGCCTAGGTCTGAGTCCTCATTCCTTGAGTCTCTGGTTCTCAAGGCTGAGCCAGTCCTGCCAGAGTGTGGGACTCTTGGAGAATAAATGTGTCCCTCCTGCCTCTTCTGGTCTGGTCTGGCCTAGGGTCTCACTCTTTATCTCTCTTTCCTACTGTGCTGGAGGGGTATGTGTGTGCGCATGTGTGAGCACATGTGTATATGCACGTGTGCGCGCATGTATGTGTATATGTGTGTGCATGTGTGTGTGCCTTTGGGCTGCCTCTGGGAAGGAAATTACATTATTTGAGCATCTGTCACATGCCAGATAAACATCTCAGACACTACACACACAATTTTGTATAAATCTCATAGCAACACAGGCATCAGGTTTGATTAGCTCAATTTTCCAGATAAGAAAATTGAGTGTCAGAAGGTTGAATAATCCCAAGTTCCCAGAGTAAATCAGGGGAAAAGCCATCACTGAACCCTAGATTTTTTGTTTTCCAGAACCCCTAGTTTTCTCTAGGTCCTGTCCTCATCCTCGGGATTGTTGGTGTCCAGTGCTTTAGAGGAGATGGGTAGTTAGAGACTCTGGCCTTTGGGGGGTGCCAGGGCCTCACATTTCAGAGATTTAAAAAATTCCTTTTGAGAAGCAGTTACTCCTGAGTCATGTGTAGCTAGCCTATCCATTCATTTACACACTTAGCCACTCTCGTTCCCACTCATCCATCCATCTACTCACCCTTGAATCCACCCATCCATCCATCCATCCATCCATGCATCCACCTATCCACCCATTCATGTACCCACCCATCCATCCATCCTTCTGCCTGTCTACCCATCCGCATACCCACAAATCCGTCCACAGACCCACTCATCCGTCCTCTCCTGGAAGAGGGTAACAGCCAGAATCTCAGCACACACCCTGCTGCCTGGTCCTGCTGCGGGGCGGCTGGTGCTGCAGTGGGTCAGATCCCCCAGGCGCGGCTGAGGTGGGTGACAGTGCGGGGGCGGGGGTGGTTTCTAGAGAGCTAACAATCACCCTCCACTCGCTCCCGAGCCCGAGGGTGGTGTGAGTGTGGGAAGATGTTCCAACGAACTCTGCTCTGCTTTCCCTTCTCCATTCTGGATCCTCAGGAAGTTAGGGCCAGATTCTTGCCCTGCCTCCCATGTGTACCTGCAGATGGCCCAGGGTGGGTGTGGGGTAACCTTCCAGGCCCTTCCTCCGAGTCCGAGGAGCAGCTGCCCCTGCGGGGAGACTTGCGAAGGGTTCCCATCTGGCCAGTGACGCGGAACACTTGCTGGGGAGGGTTCTACAAGGCCCGGTGAAGGAGTGGGCACTAGGATTCCAGGACACAACCCACTTCCAGGGAAAGCTGAGTGCAGACGTGTGCAGCCGGGGGGGTGGGGAGGATGCCCCAGAGCAGATGTGTGCAGCCGGGGGGGTGGGGAGGATGCCCCAGAGCAGACGTGTGCAGCCGGGGGGGTGGGGAGGGTGCCCCAGTGCAGACGTGTGCAGCCGGGGGGGTGGGGAGGATGCCCCAGAGCAGACGTGTGCAGCCGGGGGGGTGGGGAGGGTGCCCCAGAGCAACACGTGGAGTCGGAGGGGCCATGGACCGCCAGGGACCAGGCTGGTGCTTGAGGAGGCTGGGCCTGCAGGCCTGGGAGAGGAAGGGGCAGGTGCAGAGAGGCCTCAAAGGGGAGAGGCAAACGACTGTGTGAGGAGAGGACAGGAGCCAGGGCGAAGCTGGGGGGTGGGCTGAAGGCCAGGACCGGTGGGGAGGTTTTGGGCAGTGGGGCTAGAGGTCAGGCTGTGTCTGTGACACTGCTACCTTTTCCTTCTACTAAAAATTTAAAAAATTACCAAGCATACAGAGATGTTAAGGTAAAAATATTTTCTTCTCTCGTCCTAAACTTGAGAGAAACAGTGTCCTGCATGCCTTTCCAGCCGTGGTCCTTGGCAGATCTGCGAACCCACATGCCTGCTCGTGTACCTGGAGACGGTGCTGATGGAGGCCCTATCATACTGTGCATATCTTGAGGCGAACTGCTTTTTTGCATTTGACAGTATACCACCCACCCATTTCCAAGTCAATCCCCGTGGATGGCTTGTCCTTTGTAATGGCTGCATTGAGGTCCTCAGGTCAACTTCCAGTTCTTCTTTTTCCCACAGTGTAGCTCTGAATCACGGGAAGGGGTGGGCCTCAGAGGAACTGCCCGGGGAGGAGACGGAGGGGCACAGGTTGGGAGGTGGCCCTTGCCCTGGGAGTTCCTCTCTGACCCTCCACATGCTACGCTGCCACCCCTCCTGCCACATCTCTGGGGACCTGGGACTGAGACCTCCCATGGCTGGAGTGTTTCTAGGCAGAAGGGACCAGGGCTGGGGAAGGAGCTGGGGTCAAAGAGGTTATAGGCCCAGCCTGCCAGAGGGAGAAAACAGCCTAGGCCCTGGACCTGGGGCATTGGAGCCAGGAGACCAGCTGGGGCTTAGGGCCCTGCTGCTCTGGAGCATGGCCACCTGCTCCACTGGCCCCATCAAAGAATCGGCTCCAAATTGTTGGCTGCTGGTGGCGATGAGACTGCAACTGCAGAGGCCTCGCCCCTGCCTCCCGCATTGGGCTTGCAGAGGACACTTTAGTGTGGCCATGCCTCGGGCTAAGTGCTCACCTACTAGACACACAGGTGAGAGAAGATTTCAGAGGCTTGAAGGTAGAGTAGAGCTGGGAGCAGATAGGGAGCTGTTCCTTCAGGCTAGGATGGCTGGGGAGGCTTCTGGAAGGAGGGAGCATTGAACTGGGCCTGCAAGAGAGGCATTGACTACCGCCAGAGGGCAAGACCCTGGGCACAGACCCTCGATCTGCCCCATGCTGTGTGAGCTTTGTCAGGTTCCCGCCCTCTGTGGCCTTGGTTTCCCCAGTTGCTCTTGCTGATCGGTGCCCAGGGCACAGCCCTAGGCTGGGTTCTGGGACACACACTGACACCTGAGCCTGCCCCGGAAAGTGCCCAGGCTGGGGAGCTGGGAAGGCACTGGGCAGGAGAGCCTAGTGAGAGGACATGGCCCTTCCCACCCCGAGCGGGAGACTGGCGGGGAAGGCCTGGCTGGGCCGGGTGCTTGGGCTCCATGGCTCTGCCCTGTCGCTCTTTGTGGCCTTAGATGAGGCTCTGCCCCCTCTCGCCTTCAGTTTCCATGTCTGTGCAATGTGGGGTGACCGGGGGACTCCTGATAAGACAGTCAGCATTTGAGAGGACCCTGGTGGTCTGGGGCTGCGGCTGGGGAGGAAGGGAAGAGGGAGAGAATCTGCCCTTGGCTGCCCCTTGCGCACAGTAGGCAGATCAGAGGCCTTGGGATCAGAGAGCCTCACGGTTTGAATCTTGGATCCACAACCTCCCTGCTGTGTGATCTTGGGCTGGTTCCTTAACCCTGCAAGCCTCAGTTTCCCCACCTGTGAACAGGCACAATCACAGCACCCGGGCCTCCCAGGCTGTTGCCTGGTCTGCACATGAATGGTACCTGCTCTAGGCCTGGTGTGGGAGGTGCTGGGAGCCCGGCCCCCTCTCCTGGGCCTGCCACCTCCCCAGGGGCTACAGGGACCCAGGTCTGAGGTCAGGGGTGAGGGCGGTCAGTCTGTCTGTCTCAGGCCTTTGAGTGTGAAGGGGCTCTGGACTGCTGGGGGTGGGGTGGGGGGAGCTGGCTGAAGGGCTGGCCAGCAGCTCCACGCAATCTGTCTGCTATGCAGTCCCGGGCCTGGCCTGTATTTATTTATGCTGAGCTGTATTTATATCAGCCCCTTTCTCATTAATAGGACAGGAAATGGCTGGAATTGTTACATACCTGGCGGCCCAGGGGTCCTGCTGGGCCAAGACACACAGGGCCCTGGCCGCCCTTTGATGACTGCTAGGGGCCCCTTCTCAGTCCCAGGCCTAAGTCCCTGGCCTTTCGCTGACCCCCTTGCATTGAGCCCCCCTCCACTTCTCTGTGCTCCCATTCGTGCCCTGAGCCCACAGCCCCGAGAGAGGGGCTCCTTCAGTCCTCTCCCTGTGCCTCCAGCTTCTGACCCCACCCAACCTCAGCGGAGACAGCGGTGTTGGGGCTGTCACTGGGCAGCTTGCAGGATGGGGGCCGGTGGGCAAACCCTGGGCAAAGCAACCAGAGTACTGGGGTGAGAAACCAGAGTTTCTGATGGGATGGGATCCTGGAGCCCTGGGATGGGGTTCTGGGCAGGAGTGAAAGTGAGGGGATGTGAGAGGGCCCTCCTGAAGCTTAGGGGTTGTCCCTGGGGCTCTGCTCCCCACCATGCCAAGCTACATGTAGGCTTGGATAGAACCTGAAGCTTCCTCCCCAGGGGACCCCCAGTCGGTGGAGGTGGTCTCTGTGTTTACCACCTGACAGGGACCTGATGGGGTGGGCTCATCCCGGTCCTGCCTTCCTGGCCATCACGGCCAAGCGAGGCTCCTTTGCTCGGGGCCCAGCAGCCCCTCTCCAGCCCTCACGCTGCACTCAGAACCAAGCCAGCATCTCTCTCCAGGCTCCAGCTCTTGGGCGCGGGCCCCAGGTGGGGCTGCCAGAGCCGAGAGGCGCGGCCCCCTCCCCAGAGCACTCGCCTGACATAACCTATTAGTGCTTCTCGCCTCAGCCTGCTCCCCCAGCCAGCCTCCCCGCCCAGGCCAGACTGCTGGTCCCGTTGTCCCTCTCCTGGGCTGCTTTGCCAGGACAAGGTTAGAGGAGGCTTTGGGAGGCCCAACCACCCCAGGGGGTAACTGCCTGTTCACCCCTGCACTCAGTGGGGACCCAGGGGCTGCTGTCCACCCAGAGGCCTCATTTAGGCTGGGCCGGGCTACCTGGCAGCTGCCTTGTGGTTGCACAAGCCTGACCTCTGACCTGTGCCCACTGCAGCTGCCATGCCCTCCTGGCTCGGAGCCCAGAGCTGGACCACTGTGCAGACACGGGGACTGAAGCTAAGAGGGTAAGGGTTCTCCCTTTGCCCTCATCCCTGAACTCTCCGCCACACTTCTAGGGTCTGGTGGAAGGAGGTGGGGAGGAGACAGATGGGGATACTGAGGAGGTGGCTGCTGGGAGATTTTCAGTCTCTGGGCTGCTGCAGTGTCAGGACTCCGCCAGGGC